TCCCCAGCCAGCTTTGCTGGCTGGGGAATTCTGGGAGTTGAAGTCCGCCAGGCTTCAAGGGGCCAAGGTTGGACAGCCCTGCTCTAAAGCTTGGCTCCATAGGGCAGACATTCTTCCTGAAATGAGCACTCAATAGATTTCCCAAACTTCGTGCCCTCCACATTCACTAGGGCTGCAATCCAATCTTCTGGTCCCAAAGTACTGAGAGATTCCCCAGCAGAGGCAACCTGGAGTGCATGGGAATCCTCACTTCTATTGATGTTAACTTATTCTGAACTCCTAGAGATTATACCTATTCCAACTAGACGGCAATGGTGTTGGAGAGATCCTTAAAATGGCACCCAACCTTCTCCCAAGAAGACCATCTTCCAATGGAATTCAATACTGAAACAGCAGAGAAAGCCCCAAGGCATCCCCTCTTGATGAAATGGATGTGGCTTTAATTTCTACCAGTTACAATGCTATAAAAGTCACTCTAGGCAGCAGCAAATTGCGGCTCAACATTTAGAAAGTATTGCTCAACTTAAGCCTTTGACTCTACCTCTGGAAATGCTTTCAACTGAAAACGACATGTGTTTGCAAGGTGATTGAAACTGGAATTTACTTCCAAATCATTCAGAAGAGGCAAGGGTGTGCAACACCAGCAAATTCATGGCTTTTGTCATTCCTGTATATTAATTAATATCACACACACACAAACACATACACATACATGCACCGAGAGAATGTTTGTTATAGGAGGACTCACAATTTTTACCATTCTCTGAAAGGCTACTGCAGATTAAAGCAACCTTCCTTTGGCAGAACATCCCACTGACATAACAAGACCTTTTAAAAAATTATTGAAAGGAAGAACAGCAGGACTTTTGATTAAAAAAAAAAGACAAATCGTTGGATAGTTGGCTGACAAAAAAACCATATACCCCCCTGAATTAAAATTACCTTTTTAAATAGCACATTTCCTTCCCCTGAACCAAGAGCATCACCCTCCAAAATCACAACTGTCTGGAAATAACACAGTTACTTCGAATTCTGTTATGCAACAGTAATAACCACCACACAAAAAAAAATGCATTGGCCCTTCAGCAAGGGTGACCTTACCTGGAATCTGGGTATTTGGTCAAAGTTGCTAGGCTGCTGGTATACATGTGACCTCCTACATCAATATGCACCGGGGCGTTAGATTTGGTGAGCTGGGCAGGGAGAGGAATTCCTTGAGCGGCAATGGGAGAAACTGGGGACCGGGTCAGAGACAGCCGGGACATCGCTCTGCCTTCCTCCTAGAAACCTCAGACAGAAAAGAACAATTTCCTCTTAAATGCGGTTGTGCGCTACCTTGATTCCAGTGTGATCACAGATCTAATAAGATCTCTTTTGCATCTGCCTGATCACATATTCAGCTAACAAATTATTGCCACCTCTATAATTAAGTGTATTTGCATCATAGTCTTCGAAGGACCAGCGGCAAAGAAAAAGATGCTTATTAGCAATAAGAAATCAAGGGGAAAAAAATCTTTTTCAAGGTGTCAGCCTCAAGGGGCATAAAACAAACTGCAAAATTCTAATTAAAGGTCGCAGGCTTATGTGTTAGATGTGAAATATCCCCTGACAAACGAATAACCAATTTGTGAATTGGGATTCAGGGGTTTTTGCAAGTTTGTCTCAGTAACAAGACACCTCTAAATTAGTGACTTCCTCAGTACCTAAGGCGTTTCATTTAGACATGTAGCAAAAGTCACATCAAACTTGAAACTATTTTTGTTGCTTTTTAAATAACTAACCACACAAGAAAACAGATAGCTATTTGTTATCTTCAGGACAATGTACCCAGAAGAGAGAATGGAAGGACAGGCAAAACTAAAGGTTTAATCAATTATCATTGCCCTACAATGTCTTTTCTGTATATAATTTCCAATTATCCAGTGGCCTCACTTTGAAACACACACGTACACCAACCCTCTTATATTTAATGCTGTCGTTTCCACACATCTCCATTTGAAACTTATAGATGCAGTACATCTTTAAATGAAATACATGTAATTACCATTTTACTCAAATGCTATAGAATTCTGATCTATGCAGAAATATAAGGACTTTGTCAACGTTCACTTTTTAATATTTGACATAGGGAAGTCTACCTGTTATTTTCATTGGCATCAATGTACAGGAAGCCAGCAGAAAATCTTGCAAAAAAAAAACAGGAGACCCAGCACTTCTAACCTCTCCTTCATGTGTTAAAGCAAAATATGCCAAAGATTAAACAATTATGAGATGCTTAATTATATGAAATGTTTTGAGTATAATTTAATGTTGTCATATTGCAGGAGTCTATTAAGCCAAGAGTTGGCAAGTATTTCCTCTGTGGTATTTCACAGAACGTTTTGGTTTTTTTTAGAGATTAAACTGATCTCTTTTCTCAGAATCTTCATATTTTCTTCAAAATAGCACTCCAGGGGCTGGGCAAGACCATTCCCACCATACAACAGGCAACAACTGGAAGCGCTTTCCCTAAGATGGAAAATACCATTTTTTTTACTTTGGGGACAAATGTATTAGCAACATGGCGGGCAAAGAGTCCTTTCTGTGGAGTCTGTCTTTGCCATCACCTCAGGCCTGCTCAAGATCTCCATCATTTGCTCTCTCTCTCAACCTGTGCAGAACCCAAACTGGTCAAAAGCCTCCTCTAGTTGACAGGAAACTCTTGATAACACAGTACTGTTCTCAACCAAAGTACTGACTTCCAGAAGGACTGAGATTTCTAAGGGAGTGGATATTCTTTTTCTTCATGGAATATTTCATGTGGCAACTCAAATCACTTGGTTGTTGTTTTTTTAATAAATGCATGCGCTGTATCGGTTACACCTACCCAAATCTCACTGTCTGCTGGCATTGTATTCTATTTGCAAATGTACCACCTCTCAAGGACTGACACCTTGTCTTTTCCTAACAGTCACATCCTTGTGTTCATGCTCTTTTGTGAGGGTTAAGTCCAAAACTCCACAGACCCAACCTCATTTCCTCAAGTCCAAAGCTCAGAGAAAGATATTTCTTGCTGAAGAAGTCCAGTCAGTTGAAACTCAGCATTTCTTTAATGAAACCTTTCCCTTTCCTTCAGGCTTGTGTCTTCGGCTTTGTGCTTCTCGGAGTAATGTGAGCTTGCATTATATTATATATGGTATTCAGCTTTGTTCGGGTATTTTCCCATGTCATTATAGTTGTGCTTTTAAAGTTGTAGCAACGTTTCGGCAGAATCTCATCTGCCATCATCAGGCTTCTGTATACAAAGCTGAATACCATACATATAAATACCCGCGAAAACTTAAGAAAACATATGTATGTATGTATATACACACACACACACACACACACTTGCCCAGCTCAACAACAAGTGTTCAACTTGCTGCGATAATTCTCTTTGATGTTAACAGTGCAGGAGAACCCTATCTAACATCTATATGGAAGACAGATCTTAGTTATGCCAAAGAGGCTTCCTTGGAAACAAATTCTCAGATTATCACATTTGTTATATGCTAAATAGCATTAGGTTCAGGAACCTTACAGAAGGTTTACTTTACTGTCCAGCATGGCTTACTTTGGAGCAATTTTGCACTCTTTCAATAAATAGCCAGAAAAATATATTATTCCCCAGTATGATTTCCTGAAATCCATCTTTCTGTCTCTCACAGCAGGAGCAAAGAAAAGGCAAGAAAAGGGAGTCTATAAGACTTAGCAAATGAGATTCTAAAACTAAAACCCAAATTTTGATCCTGCAAAAATACTCATCATTGTTGCCACAGAAGATGGACATTATGCTTTGAATTATAGACATGCAATTCCTTATATCATGTCCTTAAATGGCACATTACTCAAGCATTACCTATTACTACGCATTCAAATAATTCTTAAAGTAACAATTCAAGAAATCCAGTTGGAAAAACAGTAAGAATTGTGATGGGTACACACACTAAGTTTCAAAATCTGTGTGGACAATCTGCCCCTAGAGAACAAATTGTGTCAACCTGCTGAAGGCAGAGTATATTGCTTCTCCCCAGAACAACCAGGCCAAAAATAATACGCAACTCTGGATGGCACCTTTCCATGAAGGTGGGACGATTCCCAAGCGGCTTGTGCCCCAAACCAGTGGAGCTGATGTGCGCATCTGGCATGGCTCACTGGGAACTTTCACTCCCTCCCTGCTTTCCTATGCTAACTGCCAAAGCGCTGCTTCTAAAATCTATTTGCCCATGAAAAGTGAAATAAGCGCCATCCCATGCTCATTTACACACAAAATGATTTTGTGTCCCATTGAGCTCACAGTTGTTCAGCTCTCTAGGGGTGATTATACTAGCTAGGCTGCTACAGCTTGAGATGAGTTTACCAGAATTGTTTCTCCACATAGCTGCTTCTCTGGGACACTTTCATTTTTATCCATAAAAGGTAACAGAAGGCAGTTGTGCAAGCTCCATTCTCCTCTGTGCCCATGGCAATCACCCTGGGGGGAAAAAGTGGGGAGGAAAGGCTGCAGAAATTTCCAGGGTATTGTCTGCCTGACTCTCTCTGCCTGCTTCCCCCCTTCACCTCCCTTCAAGCCCACTATTCTTCAACAGATATAAAAAATTCAGACCCAATTCCCACTTTTAGAAAAAGGCTTCAAAAGTGCAAAAAAAAGGACGTTGGGTTCTATGAATTTTTCTCCCATCTGCTCACAGCTGGGGGGGGGGGGGGTTGCAAACAGGAGCCATTGGAAGGTGGGTGGGAGCTGGTGGAAGGCAAAAGTGAACCCCCAACCCCATTCAGAGGGAAAAGCAAGCCAGAGAAAGAGCCGCCAAGGGGGCAGGAGGAAAAAGGAAGCAGCCGCACTCGGGGAAGGGGACCAAACAACTGCGGCTTGCCACACAAAAACCGCGCCACAGGAAGGACGAAGTTTGCACCGAGGCGTCCCAGTCTTGCAGGCTAATTAAGGAGATAGAAACGCTTCTGCTTCCTCCCAAGTTCATCACTGTTATTGCCTGGATTAAGGACAACCATTGAAACCGGCGCTCCGATCCACTGATTCCTCCGTGCTCGTCGAAGGCGCGAAATGAAATCTGCGCCAAGACCCGCGTTTCCAGCCACCCTGCAGCGCAGCGCGCCCGCCCCTCACGCCCCCCAACCGGGCCCGGGGGCCGCTCCTTCTCCCGGTCCTCCTCCGGCCTAGCCTGGCGCTCCGCGGCGGCCGGGATCTCCTCCATCTCTCGCCGCCGAGAGATGCCTCTCCCATGGCCCGCGGGGTGAGACCCCGGGCAGCGTCAGAGGGCCGAGAAGGAGTCCCGGGCGGCGCCCCCCCCTGCCCGGTGGGTTTTTGTCCTCGGCCGGCGCGGCTCCCTCCACGGAGCTCTTCCCCCTCCTCAGAAAAACTTTCTCGGCGCGCCGAACTTCCCGCCATCCTTCCCGGCTCGGCCCCGTCAGGACTGCAACCGAGCGCCGGCCAGCGCGGCCAATCCCGCCGCGGCTCGTCCGGCCCGGACACCGCTCGGCGCCCCGAAGTTCGCGCCGGGCTCCCGAGAAGCGCCGAGCGGCCAGGCCGGGCGACCCGCCTCCCCCCCCCCCCCCCCCCCCGCGGAAAAACCCAACATGGCGCTCGACGAGCTGCCGGCACAGACGGAGAGGGGAAGGCAGAGCAGCCGCCCGATGGCCCGCCGAGCAGCCCCGCAGACCCCGCTCGGCGCCAGGCTCCTGCCCGGCGGCTCGCGGCCTCTCGCTCCCATTGTCATCCCTCCCGGCCCTGCGCAGGCCTCGCCAGCCTTCCGCCCGGCCCGCCCCCAGCCCGTACCATGCAAGGCGGCAGAGCCGGGCGCCGCTGACCGGGGGCTAGGGGGCCGGCGTGAGCCACGTCCCCCCGGGCGGCGGAGCGGAGGCCGAGCCGGGCATCGTGCTCTTCACGCGGCGGCGGCGGCTTTTGCCCCTTCCGAGAAACCGGCTCCGGGGGGAGCAGCGGCGGCGCGCGCGCGCCTCCCAAGCGGAGCCGTGGCGCGGCCGAGGCGAGAGGCGGAGGTGCCGCACCTGGAGCCCCCGGGGGGAGCGGCGCTGGCGCCCCCCGTCCGTTCGGCCTCTCACCCACCCCGGCAGGCCGGGAAGCGGGGCTTCCCCGGGGGCCCCGATCCCGCCGGGCGCGCAAGGCTCACGTCCCCCCGTGGCGCCGGCCAGGATCGGCGCGCGCGCAGACCGGCAGGAAGAGCCTCGGCCGGCTGGGCTGGCTCGCCTTACCTTACGCGCCGCAGAACGGGCGAGAGCCGGCGATGCGCGCCCCGCCTCCCCGCCCTGGCTGCGGGCTGTCCGCGGCGGCGCTGCTCCGCTCGGTCGGCGGCCCGGAGAGGCAGGAGCCGGGCGCTGGCCTGCCTTTTGTCCCCCGCCGCCGCCCGCTGGCTGCGAGCGCTCTGCCAGGCGGCTCCCCCCGCTCCGCGCCTCCTTTCTGTTTGTTTTGTCTCTGGGTCTGCGGAGGGAGGGGGAGCGGAGCGGAGCGGCAGGCGAGGCGGCCGCCTCTCCGCTCGCCAAGCGCCGCGGGGAGGGAGAGCGCCAGGCGGGCGGGCGGGCGGGCAGCAGCGGCAGCGGAGGCCGAGTCTCGCTCCGGGCTGTGCCCCCTGCGAGCGCTGCCCCCCCCGCCCGCCCGGGAAACCGCAGCATCCCCCTCCGGCTATTCGGGGCGGCCCCTGGAGGAGCATCGCGCTCCCTTCCCGCGGCACTTACTTTCCGTGCCCGCTAACGGTCCGAGCGTTCCCGCTGCTCGACGGCGTCAGGCCACGGCGGCCACGTCCCTCCGGCGACGGGCGGGCGGGAAAGCGGCCGGGCTGATTCGAGCCATCGCCGCGCCGCCGGGTCGTCGCGCAGCTGCAGCCGGCATCGGCGTCCGGCTCCCGGGCAAAGAAGGAAAAGGAAGGCGGGCGGGCGGGCAGACGGACGGGCACGGCCGACTCTTCTCTGCCGGCGGAGGGCGGAGGGCGGCGCGCGAGGGGCACTTGTTGATAAAAGGCGGATCAAGTTTGGCGCTTCCACGCGCGCCTCGCCTGCCTCTCCTCCCGCCCCCGACCGGCGCGAGAAACGCCGAGGCCGCCGCGGGCCCTGGTGAGGCTCCGCTGACGTGCGCGCCTGGGCCCCGGCGATTGGAGGGAAGCGCCGGCCGCCGCGGGCCAGAGGCGCCGTTTCCAAGGCAGGCTCGGCGAAGGCAGCTGCCGGGGGCCCGGCCCGCCTCGGCTTGCCCGGCCTCTCCCCGAGCCCCCGGCTCTGCCGCGGCCTGGCTGGCGAGCGCCGCCTCGGGGGGTCTTCCAGCCGGCTCTCCCAGGCTGGGGCGCCAGCTTGTGAAGTCCCTGGGGCCGTCGGGCCTGCCTCGCCCCGAGCGACGGCTGAGGCGCCCTGTCGGGCCGTATCTCCCTCCCGTCTGCTGCCCTGCCAGCTGCTGCTCCTTCTCCGTGCCAGGCGGCCTGCCTGAGGAGGCCCCGTTGCTGGCCTTCCTTCTCCCGGCCCCGAGCGGGACAGAAGGAGGCCGCCTTTTGCCACCTGAAACTCTGAATCGCGCGGGGTGGGGTGGGAGGGTCATGTTAGGCCCACACCGGGTTTCCCCTTGCAGGTGGTATCCTAAACCTGGTTTAGGTCATATCCTAAACTACTTTAGGATAGTTGTATCCTAACTCTCCGCTTCAGCATGTTAAGATGCGCCCTGAAAATAAACATTGCACCATAATGAAGGCTGTATTGCCACTGTGTCTGGAGATTCTCAGTCCTCCAGGTCGTCCCAAAAGGTGCTTTTTCAAGAGGCAACTGGACTTTCTGGGTTGTTGGTTGTTTTTTTGAAGACGTTTTGCTTCTCATCCAAGAAGCTTCTTCAGCTTTGAAGAAGCTTCCTGGATGAGAAGCGAAAGGTCTTCAAAGGAAAAGCCAGAAAGTCCAGTTGCCTCTTGAAAAATTACCTTTATTGCCACTATTGTAATGTGCCTTGGTTAGGGAATTGAGGAGGATGAAACACATTGCTCCTGGTTCTTGTAGTTAGGATATAGTTTTTCCTGGTTCTTGTAGTTAGGATGTAGTTTCTCCTGGTTCTTGTAGTTAGGATGTGGTTGCAGAAGTATGAAACATGCTTAGCTGAGCAGAACTTTCTTCTGTCACTTCAATAACTGGCCTGGTATCCTTATGGGTTGTTGCTAGTTATATATCTGATCCATACATTCTTGTTTTTAACGTAGGTACTTTAAATCAATCAGAATAGAGCTGGAAGGGACCTTGGAGGTCTTCTAGTCCAACTCCTGCTGAAGCAGGAAAGCCTATACAATTTGAAACAAGTGGCTGTCCAGTCTCCTCTTAAAAACCTCCAGTGATGGAGCACCCACCACTTCTGAAGGGTTATCTGCATATCCTTGGCTTAAAATAAAGTCCTGATAAAGAAGTTTGTTCTCAAAGGAACACAAGCATTATTAAATTGCACCTTACAATCCTTTTAAACCACAGAATTTGGCCACACATTTGGGGCAGCTTGAAGGTACGTTTGCAGCTGTGCCTACTATGGACAGAGAGGAGAAACAGCAGAAAAGTTATGTAATTCTTTGATCGCCATTGATGCAAAAGGTCGATTCACCCACAGGGTTAAGAAAAACTGAAGGGCCTCTAACATTCACTACAAAAAAAGAAAGACCTTTACAGTTGGACTCCCTTATGCTTTTCTTACAGTTGTTCGAACCTGGGAATGCCCCAGAAACAGACAAAGCCTCGAACCACTTTCTTAAGAAGTAAAGCAGAAACTTTTTTCCCCCCAAGGGGAGTTTATTTATTTATTTCCCAAACAGAAGCTGCAGGAGAAGAGGGAAATTTTCTCATTAAAGTTACATCCCTGCAGTTAGTTCAATTACTTGATATATGCAGAAGATGTTGTAAATTTAAAGATTTAAATAGCTTACAAAGATGCCAGAGGCTCCATCAGTTGATTTCCTTAATTTATGGAATTTTTTTTTAGCTCAGCTTCTGAAGTGGGAGGGAAAAGAAGAAGAAGAAGAAGAGAAGACAAAGAGAAGTAGGTCATTGGATAGAGATCTATCCGGGTCAGGATTCCCTGCTTGTTTTTACTGCATCCATCAGAACAACTTGAGATTTGGGGGCATTCTTTGCCATTCCAGACTGCAAGCAAGGGGAGCTTCCGGATACAGTTCTGGGGAAGATCTGGATCTGCAGAGGATCCTGTTTGTAAACACCCATCTCTATGCCAGTGGGACAAAATTCCTTTAGTAGTGGGTAGTCAAGGAAATAAATCAATCAGAATAGAGCTGGAAGGGGCCTTTGAGGTCTTCTAGTCCAACCTATATCATTTGAGACAACTGATGTCCAGTCTCTCCTTAAAATATACTTCAGGGGGTAAGCTCTTCCACTGGTTAATTGTCCTCACGAAGAGGAAGTTCCTCTTTAATTCCTTGTTGCTTCTCTCCTTGATTAGTTTCCATTCATTGTTTCTTCTCTTGCCTTCTGGTGCTTTGGCCTCCTCTTCGTGGCAGCCCTTCAAATACTGGAATACTGCTACCATAAAGAGAGGTAGCAAGTAGCAATGAACTTTATTCAGTTTTAGAAGATCTGTCTGCTGTGGTACTTCCTGAAAGAATTGTCTGAAATTTGGGAGGATCTTGGTCACCTACCTGAACAATGTTGAGTAGGACAAGAGAAGAACCCAAGCCACTTTTGTGCACGAGGCATGTGGCAGTTGAGTAGTGCAACCTGCAAAGCCTTCTCTTTAGTATGGACTTCTTGCTGTGTTTATATCTGTGGAAATAAGACCATACCTAGAGTACTGCATCCAGTTTTGGTCACCGTGCTATAAAAAAGATGCTGAGACTCTAGAAAGAGTGCAGAGAAGATTAACCCGGATGATTGGGGGACTGGAGGCTAAAACATGAACATTTATGGGACTTGGGTATGTCTAGTTTAATGAAAAGAAAGACCAGGGATGACATGTTGGCAGTGTTCCAATATTTGAGGGGCTGCCAGAAAGAAGGCCAGGCAAGGAATAATGGATGAAAACTGAGCAAGGAGAGATTCAACCTGGAAATAAGGAGGAATTTTCTCACAGTGAGAGCAATCAACCCATGGAACAGAAGTTGCCTTCAGAAGTTGTGGGAGCTTCATCAATGGAAGCTTTCAAGAAGAGACTGGACTGCCATCTCTCAGAAATGGTGTATAGGGTCTCCTGCTTGGGTGGGTGGGGGGTTGGACTAGATGACCTACAGTACAGGGTCCCTTCCAGTTCTGTTAATCAAGTAGAACTTAAGTCAATTGCCATAATGTTTCCTTATCATGAAGCAGCTGTTTGGTTTGTCCTCTTTTTTTCTTCTTAAAACCCTTTTTGAGGGCCAAGACTTGGATTGTCAATGATATTCCTAGAAAGGGCATTGTTATGTTGGTGGCTCAACCACAGATCTTGGATGAAATCACAGTGAACAAGTTTGCTTGGGAATCTCGGGATACCCCTTGGTTTGGCTCGCCCAAAAGTTTAGATCCATGCAGTCTGCTGTCCATACAAGACCCCCACCAACTCAGTTCCTATCACTGTTTAGATCAGGGGGTCCCCAAACTTGGAAACTTTAAGACTTGTAGACTTCAACTCCCAGAATTCTTCAGCTAGCATAGCTACAAGTCTTAACGCTGCCAAGTTTGGAGACTTCTGGTATAAGATGAAGTTCAGTGTATGTGTCTATGTGTGCTCACATATTGGACCCTACATTTTTCATTTACAATCTGTACGTTAGTCTCAGGGTCCCTGCCTAAATGACACTGACTGAGGAGGATGTCTATCTGTTTTCCTACGGATAGCAGAAACTAGAAACTAGATCTGTTCTGGGACACAGCATGAAATTCATTCATTTGGTGAATTGCAGGTTAATTGTGTGAAACAGTCCAGCTGAAAGATGGAGGGGTTGTGGAAAGATCAGTTCCCACCATTCCCAGGATGGTAAAGTGCATAAAATTACAATATAAACCATTGTAAAGTGTTGTCTTCCTAAAGCACATATGTGCTAGTTGTTCCTGGCTCTAGAGGGCAGTGCTCGTCTCTTTCCAAGCAGAGCCAGCGCTGTCCGAAGACGTCTTCGTGGTCATATGGCCGGCATGACTTTGAAGGCGCACGGAATGCTGTGACCTTCCCACCAAAGTGGTGCCTATTTTCCTACTTGCAATTTTTACATGCTTTCGAACTACTAGGTTGGCAGAAGCTGGGACAAGTAATAGGAGCTCACTCCGTTATGCAGCGCTAGGGATTCGAACCGCCAAACTGCTGACTTTTCTGATTAAAAAGCTCAGCCTCTTAGCCACTGAGCCACCATGTCACCTGTTGTCCTCCTACGTGAGCAAACAAAAGTAGCATTGCCTCTGCAATCATATCTTCCTGCCTTTAATAGGGCCAAGCCACCTGATTCCCTTCAGGAATTTAACACTAACAATATAACTCCATTAACTCAAGGCCAAATGGCAAGGTTTTGTGGGTGTTGTAGTCCAAATAATCTGGAAGACACAAACCTTTCAGTAATCCAATTTCTCATAAGATAGTAGGAATGAAACAAGCCTTCTGAACCTTCCGCCTAATTAGACTTTGAACCGAGTAGACTAAAATAGTGTTTTTTTTAAATCATAGCTCATTTTAAATGTTTACCACATAGAAAAGGTGTTATGTTCATCTGAATCAGCTGGATGCATATTGAAAGTAGCAAAAATGTTCAGGCATAATGCAGGCTTTCTGTTTTACAGACCTCTATTATGCTGTGATTCTTTCTTCTTTCTGTTGTTTTAGGATCCTGCATGTCAGTACGATGAATATATACATATGAATTAATACTTAAAAGGCACAATGCCAACTAAACAGTATCATGGAGAAGCGTTGCAGTAT